CAAGACAAAGACGGACGAACTCGAGCATTTCAAGGAATATCAAGCACGCGTCAAGAACTTACATGGTGTTACTCTCAAGACTGTCCGTTTCGATAACAGAGGAGAATACATTAGTAAGGAATTCACTGCGTATCTGAAGGCTGAAGGTATCTCGATAGATACCACCACACCTAAGTCCTCTGCACAAAACGGTGTCGCGGAGCGCGTCAATCGTACCATGATGGATCGTGCATTGGCGCTTCTCATTGCGGCAGGCCTACCCAAGTTTCTCTGGCCCGAAGCCGTGGCCCATGTCACGTACCTCAAGAACCGATCCCCGACTCGCGCACTCAAGGACAAGACTCCCGAGGAAGTCTGGACCGGCCGCAAGCCCGACATCTCGGACTTACAGGAGTGGGGCATCCATTGCTGGGTACTAACTGACAGGCAGAAACGGACCAAGCTGGACCCCAAGTCCCAGCCTATGTTCTACATGGGCCCGGCACCTGGCACAAAAGGTTGGCGGTACTACGATCCCAAGAGCCGCCGAATCGGCAAATCTTGCAATATTGTCTTCACGGTTCCCAAGAATCAACCACCCGCGGACAATGATGATGACGAGTACCTCGAGCTTTCTCTCCCTGCGCCGCTCGAGGGGGAGAATGGGACCACAGACAATCTGGCGCAAGGGGGAGACGCGACCGTCTCTCCCACGAACATATCAGACACACCACCTCCCGTTACAACTCGGAAGGCACCGCGAATGACAGTTGTTGTCACACCATCCGAACGCACCCTCCGCGGGAAGCCACGGATCGATCACAAGGCTGTCGAAGACGGTAAGGGCATAGTCATCAAGACCACGCCGAACGCGCCTCAACAAGCGGTTTCAGACGATGACAATGATGCCGTCGAACGCATTGTCGGCGATTACGAGTCGCATTTCCTGTGTCTGCTCACCCTTATAGGTACACCCACCGCGCGTGAGCCACGCAACTTCAAAGAAGCGCAAGTGTCACTGGATGCCAAACTCTGGCGCAATGCAATGGACACCGAGATCTCACAGCTCCTCAAGCTTGGCACTTGGATCCACGCGGATCTCCCACATGGTCGCAAACCCATCGGATGCACTTGAGTCTACAAGCGCAAGGAAGATCTCGAAGGCAATGTGAAGTACAAAGCGCGCCTCGTCGCATAAGGGTTCTCACAAGTATTCGGAATTGACGTATTCGATACTTTTTCTCCAGTTATCCGCACTGATTCTGTCCGCGTTTTAGCTGCTATAGGGACCACGCGCAACATGGAGATGTCGCAATTCGACGTTGTCGGCGCATATCTCAATGCCGAACTCGATAAAGAGATTTACATGCGACAACCCCCGGGATACGACGACAAAAGTGGCAAGGTTCTACGCCTGCAAAAGGCACTTTACGGCCTCAAGCAGGGCGGTCGCAAATGGAACGAACATTTCAACCGCATTATGACGCAAAACCTCGCCTTCAAACATTTGAACTCGGACCCCTGTGTCTACATCAAGAAGACCAGACGCGGTCTTGTTATCATCGGTGTTCACGTGGACGACATGATCGCGCTTGCGGATACCACATCACTGATGGACGATTTTGCTACAGAACTGGCCAAGCATGTTAAGATCACCAACATGGGTCCTCCAACCTTGTTTTTAGGCCTAGAGTTTTCACGAGATCGTACTGCACGCACACTGACCATTTGTCAATCACAGTACATCCTGCGTGTCCTCGAGCGTTTCGGTATGACGGACTTGAACCCTGTCAGCACACCACTCGACCCGAACGTCAAGCTTGTCAAGTGCGCTGAAAATGCTGATCTCACCGAAATGCGCAAGTGCCCGTATCAAGCTGTCATCGGATCCCTGATGTACGCCGCACTCGGAACACGACCGGACATCGCCTACGCCGTGCAGGCCCTCTCCCAGTACAACTTGCGCTATGGCCCGGAACACTGGACCGCTGCAAAACGTGTCTTACGATATCTCAAGGGCACGCACACGTACGGCATCACCTACTTGGGCGAAGGTCAGACGCGACTTCAAGCTTATTACCTCAACCTTCGACTCGAGGGATACACCGACGCCGACTGGGGATCCAACCTGGACGACCGATGCTCGATCTCGGGGTACATGTTTCTCGTCGGAAACGCTGTTGTTGCTTGGAGCTCTAAGAAACAGACCACGGTAGCGCTCTCTTCAACCGAGGCTGAATACATGGCTGTCTCGTACGCTGCGCGACACACCATCTGGATGTGGGCGCTCCTCTCTGAACTCTCTTTCGCGCCGACCGAGGCCACAAAGCTCAATGCGGACAACAAGTCCGCTATCGAATTGTCCAAAGACAATGTCCTCCATGCGCGTACCAAGCACATCGATATCCGTCACCGCTTCATCCGTGAATGCATCGCTGCCAAAACGATCCAACTCGAATACTGCCCCACCGACGTCAATTCCGCTGACCTCTTTACGAAGGCGCTCACACGAGATCATTTTCAGGCCCTTCGCACACAACTTGGTATCCTCCCGGTAGCGAGTTGAGGGGGAGTGTTGTAGTACGGACTGTTACAGCGAAGCGTGTCAGCACTCAAGGGGTCGTGTGCAGGTTATGCACAACGAGGACGCAGACTGATGACAAGCTTAGCACACTGGTTCAGTGGGGGTCTGGGGGTTCGAGGTCACTAGGGGTCTAGGGAGTGAGAACGCTTGATTGGTACAAGAGGTCAAACTGGGGTGCCCAGTGCAAGACCTGTCCTTATATACTAAAGTACACGGTCGCTGACTAATCGGAGAATAATAGCGAATGGGGACAAAGGAGTCACGTGGTGTTGTGACCACGTAGTACAATGGCGAAAAGAACAATAGCGATGAGAACAATGGGGATATGAAGCATGGTGTTGGAACCATGGTAGGTACGAGTGTCC